GTATATTAGTGTGCTTGAATAAACTCTGGTGCTTATCACACTGAATTGTATTGCTTCCAGGCCCGTTTTTACACATAGCCACAGGAGAGCAGCACATTGAGCTGGGTCGGAGCAGCCCCAGCTGGCAGGGAGCCCAGGGGTCAGCCTGCCATCCTGGGGCTGTTTCCCCCAGCTCAGTGTGCTGTGGAGGGGCTGGCTGGGGCACAAAGGTGCCTCAGCACAGGGCTAGCCAGCAGATAGCCCCTTCACTGAAGCACCCTTGTGTCCCAGCCAGCTTCTCCGCAGCTGTCTCTATGTACGCTGCTGCACACAAAAGAACTCTGCAGCAGAGTAATACTTGTACATACTTGTATGTACAAGTATTACCCTGTTGCAGAGTTTATTAGTTTAATGCACCCTGATAGGGACATGCATGTAGACGCTAATACGTTTACTGCCCAGTTAATTAGGCAACTGCACAGTAAACATCTTGTGTAGATGTGCCCACCTAGCACTAGGGCTCTTTTAATTCATTTATTTAATCCATTTTTATCCCATTTATGACGATGTTTTATAAAGCAGCATGCAAAGCCTAGCCTGAGCAAGGCATGCAGAATTAGGCCTATCATATTTGACTTTGCTCTCTTTTTTCTGTATATATTTAAGTTGAGAGACACCAGCCCAATTCCCAGTGCAGTTTCATATGCCATTATGCTTTTTTACATAAAACAGAATAATTAGAAATTGCAATATTCTATGAATTGTCTTTATGGACTCCTTGGTTTGAATCTTCTAGTTCATCTATTGCCATGTTTGTTGGTAGTGAAAGGCTAATTTTGTAAGTTTTTGGTTGCATGAGTCAGTCCTTGCTCACATAAAGAAAGTCTTGGAAAACAACAGAACTAACTGCATGTCTAAAAATTAGCCATGCCAGTGTTTGCTGCATGATTAGTTAGATACATTTCACCTCCGCAAAAATTTCTGCAACCTATACATAAATGTACATTCAGAATCTTCCTTCCACCTTTTTGTTTCATGCAGAAATCCCCCAGCAGATCACTGGGCTCTTGTTACTGGACTCCCAACATATGTAGCTGAAAGTGGTTATGTAAGTATTTAACTCAAATTACATAAACAGTTTCAGAAGTGAAGCTGAGTTAATGCTTACTTTGTACAACTGAAGCTTTTACTGCTTGAACTAAACCACCAAGCAGAACAGGTTAATTGTTTTAACTCAATTTTGAAAATGTTTTTGTCATCTAGATTTGCAACATTATGAATGCAGCTGCAGATGAAATGTTTAAATTTCAGGTACTGTAAAAGCTCTCATACTTATTAACAATTCCTCTGTGCTTCCAAAAATATAATTGAAATTCAATATTATACATATAATGCCCTTTAACTTGTAGCAATAGTGAATGTGTTTTAAAATAAAATAAAAAAATTTATGCATTAAAAATACAATTTGTGTATTCAACATTTTTCTGCTTGCTGTTGCTTCAAGGAAGGTCCTCTAGATGAATCGGGATGGACTATCAAAAATGTTCTATCCATGCCAATAGTTAACAAAAAAGAAGAAATTGTTGGTGTTGTCACATTTTACAACAGAAAAGATGGGAAGCCATTTGATGAACAAGACGAAACTCTCATGGAGGTATAATTATTCTCTGTCATTGAAAGCAATTTTTGCCCAATGGTCATTGCCTAAATGACAACAAACTATTGCTGAAAGCATGCGCAGTAGCATGTGTGGCCTATGACATTTTGCAACTGTGTAGTGTTTTGTAGGTATGAGTTAATTTGTTGTGGAAATTCAAAGAATCATTACCAAATCCAAGTGGATCTAGGTAATCTTGGCTTTAAGGGCACCTATACATATGCCAGATGTCTGCTCTAATGTAGGCTAATTAGCATCCCTGCATTTCAGAATGAGCTCCTCAAATGAGCTTTAGGTAAAGTTCCCCTGCCACCATTTTGAAGCATGGGATGGTGTTGGAGCCTCTCTAATTAAAGTGCCACCCCCCTTCTCCACCCCTGGAGCATGTATAAAGATGCCCTAATAGTCTATTTAGCTTCTAAAAACATTGGCACCACCATCTAGCTCCTGTACACTCAAATATTTTAATGAAGTCATTTGGAACCTTACTATCTAACCCATCCCAGTAACAGAAACAATTTGCAGAAAATACAATTGGACAGACATTCCAGAATACATTGACACTATTGTAAGAATATGTTTCATGCCCAGCTATTGGGCATGAGGTGTTTATACCATCTAATTCTGGCATTCTTCTGTACAGCAGCAAACAGGTGCCATTTCCGCTATGTGCGTGAGAGTAAAAGAGTAAGAATGAAGTTGTAGGGGGTTGGAGGATACTTCAAGTATGATTCATAAAATGGCTTAAATTCAGATCTAGCAAAAACAAAACTGCTGAAGTCAGGAACTGAACCTTCCTACAACAGTGGAAAGCCCACGGGTTGAACACCACTGACGTAAAGCACTGGTGCTAAGAAATATCAGAGAACATTAAAGACCCATTGGCTTCAAATGCTAAAAATAAAATTAGTTTTACTAGAATAAGGACCGCTGGAGAGAAGGTAGGGACCAGATTCTATTCCGCTTATGGGGCATTTAAAGTCAATTTAGGCACTTAGGTGAGTTTGTATTCTACCCTCCTCAAGTTCCTGAAAATTGATTAATGCACCTACTTTTGTAATCCTCTATCAGCTAAACTTCAAGATTGAATCACAACCCCCCCCCCCCCAGTAAGGATGAAGAGGACCCTCTGGTACTTGCGGAGGGTGGTATAGAATTTCATAACTTTGCTTTGACATTGTTGACCCTGCATACCAAGCTCATTTGGAAAGGCTGGACGCACACTGAGGCCAGATCTTGTTTTTACACCCACCATTACAGGTTTTTGTAACATATAAATAAGAGAAATGTTATGGTTCTCACGTATGTTCTCCTCAGCCCCTGGAAGATGCTACATTTGTCACACAGTTAACATGTTAATCATGCAATAAATTGTAAAATACCACAAGTTCAACCAATTTATTGTGCCATAAAATGACAAAACTGCTACAAAGATGTTCTACATTTAATGCTTGGGCTTCCTGGCACATGGGTTTAGAGGTGTTGCTTGGAGATGCCAGTGGGGTGCATCATGAATGGTTTTCAACTTGCCAGGATCACCATCTGAGTTCTACCCATTCCAACAAGGTGAAGCACTATGCCCGCATTTGTGTGATTGGGATTTGACAAATTTTATCCCTGATCCCAAAAACTGCATGTTCTACCATGCGCGTGGGATCAGATCCCATAGTGCCATTACATTAGTGTCTAACTGTTGCCTAGAAGTATGGCAGTAGCAGTAATTGAGATGTCCAATAGCATAACGATGGTGGTGGGGAGAGGCAGAGCCCCTGGTGCAGAGAATGGGGATCAGCAATACAAAAAGAGAAGAATCTGCATTTCTGGACCAACTACTGCCATGCTGCTGGCAGTGCAGTGGGTGCACTGCCATGCCTGTGTCACTGTCACCCAGGGAGTTCAGCCATTATGTTACATCTCTGAAGATATTTTTATGTTTTTGAGGGCAGTGGGAGGGAAGGAAGAAGCTCAGCTACTTCATTGTTTCCTTTTTTCTCTCCTTTTTAAGTCCTTGACACAGTTCCTGGGCTGGTCCGTACTTAACACAGACACATATGACAAGATGAACAAGCTGGAGAATCGAAAAGACATTGCTCAAGACATGGTGCTCTACCATGTGAGATGTGACAAGGATGAAATTCAGGATATCTTGGTATTGAAGCTAAGCTTAATGGTTTACTGTTGAAGTCTAAACTAGTCCCAGTCTAACAGTATATCCCATCTGCAAAAATTTGTCAACATAGCTCCTTTCATCCCAAGTGTGTTTTATTTTACCACATGCATTTCTAAAGCACCCGCCAAATCTGAGCTTGCATTCCAAAGTAACTTAACAGTCTTCCTTGGAATGGGCCATATTCCCTTCTGCCTTGAGGTGCATGACTTTCAAGAGGGGGCAAACTCCAGTAACTTTTCCCTGAGAGCTTTCAGGACTCCTGCACAGAGAGAAGGGTCTTGCTGTGTAGCAGCTATTGCCTGCACATAGTTTTCCCTTTGACACTATGTTGCAAACACCTCCAAGGAGGGAAGGCAGCTGTCAAGGGTGTAAAAAAGTGAGAATGTAAACCAAAACTTTGTTAATGCTTAGTGTTAGTCACTTGCATTTCAGTGTTAGACTATTTAGAGATTCATCCTAGGCTCGGAGTGTTAAACTGGGTCCTTTCCATTCTGTGTATCATTAAAAAGATCGCTTCAGGGCTAGTATAGCCCTTAAAACACTGCTGCAGCCCATTAGTAACAGAAGGGTTTACAGAGATATTACCAAGAAAATAATCTAATGTCAATGGGGTGCTTAGAAGTTTTAGTTTATCCTGCCAAACCCCTGTGGCTTGGGATGACATGTGGGAGAGAGAACCCAGCTTGGTAGGGGTGAGTGTGGAAGACTAACAATCTTTCCATTTGCAAACTATGCAAAATTACATGTGGAGGTGATAAAGAGAGACAGTAAGTATGGGCATCAATGCCACTTTTGGAGCTACTTTATAATGGAGACTTGCCCTTTAAAGACAGTAATGGAAGCAAGGCTCAAAAAAGAAAATGGATTTGGAAGTTAAAAGCTGCTCACAACTGAATTCCCTAATGCCATGTAGCCTTCACCGGGATTAGAGTCAACAGTGAAAATAACATATATGTCATCTTCGTAGCCAACACGAGACAGGCTGGGGAAAGAACCACATGAGTGTGAAGAAGAAGAACTGGCAGAAATACTGGTAAGAGTCATACATGGTTGACTTGACAACAAAGGCAGATAAGTATTTGCTGGGCAGAAGCAGGAAAGAGTTGTCATTTTGTATTGGGGCCCACCAGTGAAGCATCTCAACATCTCCTAAGAATAGAAACAACATCCCTCTCTCCTTCCCCTGCCACACAGACACCTGGAGTATCATATCTTAGAATAGTATGTTGTGGCATGGTATGGCCCATCTTCCAGAGGCAGTGCCTCCAGAACTCCTGGGGAGAGGCTGCTTTGCATTCCCCCAAGTACCAGGAAACACTTAAAGTTTTGTGCCTCTGCAGAGAACCAGCTGTGGTCCACTTGGATTCTCCACACAGTTTGCTATCTCAGGCAAATAGAGAGAGAGATCTAGAGCCAAGTGGCTCTGTACGACCCTGGAGCCAAGTTTGATCCTTGAAGGCTGGTGTGTCAAATCTACCAGGATACTGTTTAAACAACAAAAGAGCAAGCAAAATATATGACAGCTTGTATATACGGTGACCTGTAAAACCAATCAACCCAAGTCTCATTATGCTAAGGGGGCAGGTCTGAAACAGCAATATGCTAGTGGGAATACTGAGAAGGAGAGCTGTGCTGCTTGCAACTATATCTGTGAATGGCACAAGGAACACAAAATCTAGCCCATCTATTCCTTTTCCAGCGTGATCAACTCCCGGACCCTGGTGAATTTGAAATCTACGAGTTCAAGTTCTCTGATTTTGAGTGCTCTGAGCTTGACCTTGTGAGGTGTGGAGTTCAGATGTACTATGAGCTTGGCGTGGTGAAAAAATTCCAGATTCCACAAGAGGTAGGTGACAGTTGTTGGCAAGCTGTTACAGAGAAATGTCTGTGGACTTCCACCTCAACTTAGTAGCTCTGGACAGTAGACCTAGAGCCCAGCACCTAGAAGCTAATGGGTATAGTCACAGGTTATGCTGCTGTTAGTGGCATCGTCAAAAGGCACAGTAGCTCTCTGTGCTGCACTCAGGAGGTCTGACAGAAGCATGTAAAGCTTTAACTCTAGCTGGCATGAATACCATCACCCACAAAGCAACAGCTGTGTGCTCCAGTGGTGATGGTATACACCCACCAAAAATACTGAGTGCTTACTTCTGCTGCTAGCCTGTTCTGAAGCCTGTCCCCTTGAAGCCTGGTTGCTATTGACAGTCAATCCAACTAGGTTAAAGCTAGTAGCTAGACAATGCTAAATACCCAGGTAAACTACATTAAAGCTCCTTGGGAAATGCCTACATAGGTTGCGCTCAGTTTCCCAATGGAAGTGCAGACAGACTCACAGGCAGAATTTTTTAGCCACCAGTGAAGTCTGTTGCCACCTACTGGAAGCTGGATGTACACACATAGTAAGTGAAACCAAAGCAAGCCCACATCATCATCCATTGCCTTGTACCTTGTGTCATTGTTTGCCCCATACAAACTGCTGGCATTAGTTTTAATGAGTGGATGAGTATGCTTGGGGAGCTCTTTACACAGATTTAAGTAACATGGCCATAGCAAGTGCAAGGGCCCGGGACAACTTGGCAGCATCAATATGAGAGGTGTAGTTAGTTGTGTAATTCTGAAGTCAGTCAAAAGGCCGGGTAGATACACACCTTTTTAAACTAACTAAATAAGGTATATACAGGGAGAACACAATCTTTTGTGAAGCCAAGTTCACTTCTTCAGATGCTGGTTCACAAAAACTTGCGTGATCTCTCTCTCTCTCTCTTATTTACCATATTTAAGTGGATGACCTCCCAATAATTATATTCTATACATGGAAAATGTATACAGTTGTTATAATTTTCCATGTACAGAATCTAATTTTTGGAGGATCATTTTAAATTTGTGCTCCCACCACTGCAGTGTGGAAAGCAGTAGTAGGGGGGCACATGATGGGGGGAGCACAAGGTGGCAGGTACTGGGGGGGCAGCAGAAGGTGCAGACAATGGAGAAGGCAGTGAGGGGGCAGGCATTGGCGGAAGAAGTGGGGGTTCAAGTAGCTTCCCCCTTGCCCCCTGTCTCCCCACCACTTGAGCCTCCTTTTGCCTGCCCCCCGTTGCCTTTGGCCCCCATAGTCTCAGGCCCCCTTCCCCCTTCCACTATCGTCCCCCTTGCAGCCTCTGCCTCCATCTGCACCTCCCCATCCTATTGCAAGTCCTATTGAAGCTAGGAGGAGTACAAGACCATTCCTTAGTCATGCAGGCATGAAATCAGGAAGTAGGCCTGTGTGAAGTGGCTAGTATTTGCTTTGGATTCAGATTCAGCTGACTCAGGGGGGGCAGTGATTCAATTTGGTGATTTGAATCACTGTCCTGAATCGATTCAGTCAAAACTGATTCAGAGATTTGGCTGCCGCTAAATCGGCTGAACCAAACAGGTCCCATACCCCACCTGCCCTCTCAGTTCTGTCAATGACTGCCCCACCCAGCCCCAGCATCCTGGCTCTTAAAAAAAACTCCCTGACAGCTGCTGCAGCATCTGGTGAGTGCAGAGCTTTTTTTTCCCCTTCTTTTTTTTTAAGTGCCTGGATGCTGGGGCCAGGTGGGGCTGACATTAATGGGGCTGGGAGAGCAGGTGGGGAATAGGGGCTCATGGCAGAGCCCCCCCCCCCACAGCACGGGGCAGTTGGGGACAGCAGGGATCGCCCCCCTGCCTGGCAGGAGCTGGTGAGTGTGGGTTTTTGTTTTTTGTTTTGTTTTTTAAAGCACCAGGATGTTGGGGCCAGGTGGGACAGCCATTGATGGGGCATGGGTTGGGGGGCACTCAGGGGGGCTGTAGGAGCAAGCAGGGGATGGGGTCTGGTGGGGGGTCCCCCCATGGTCCTCTACCCCCTTCTTCAGCCCCGCCTCCTCCTCCACCCCTTACCTACTGGCACAGAGCCTGGGTCCAGCTCCTTGCAGCAGTGAGCAGGGACTGCCCAAATCACCAAATCTTCCTCCAAAATTTTCCAAATTGATTCGGAGGCTTTGAATCAATTTGGACCTTTTTATTGATCTCCTGATTCAATTAGGAGACTTGGCTGCCAAATTGGGCCAAATCTCCTCTGAATCAAATCACTACCTGAAGCTTCTCACAGGCCAAAGCACAATTTGAGTTGCAGCTAGCAACAGACGTGAAGGGTAATAAGGAGGGTTTCTACAAACATGTCAGCAACAGGAGGAAAATCAGGGAAAATGTGGGTCCTCTACTAAACGGGGGAGGCAACCTAGTGACAGATGAGGTGGAAAAGGCTGAAGTACTCAATGCCTTTTTCAACTTAGTCTTCACAGGCAAGGTCAGCTCCCACATTACTGCACACCTAGCAGCACAGTTTGGGAAGGAGGTGAGCAGCCAACACCAGCAAAAGAATGGGTTAGGGACTATTTAGAAAAGCTGGACATATACAAGTCCTTGGGGCCTGATGTGATACACTCAAGGATGCTGAGGGAGTTGGCTGATATGATTGCAAAGCCACTGGCCATCATCTTTAAAAACTCATGGCAATTGGGAGAGATCCTGGGTGACTAGAAAAGGGCAAATATAGTGCCCATCTTTAAGAAAGGGAAGAAGGAGGATCTGGGGAACTACAGACTGGTCAGCCTCACCTCAGCCTCTGGAAAAAATCATGGAGCCAAGTCCTCAAGCAATCCATTTTTAAGCACTTGGAAGAGGAAAAGGTCATTAGGAACAGTCAGCCTGGATTCCCCAAGGGCAAGTTATGCCTGACCAACCTGATTGCCTTCTATGATGAAATAACTGACTCTGTGGATGTGGGGAGAGCAGTGGACATGATACACCTTGACTTTAGCAGGGATTTTGATATGGTCTCCCACAATATTCTCTCTAGCAAGCTAAGGAAGTCTGGGTTGGATAAATGGACTGTAAGGTGGATAGAAAACTGGATGGATCAATGGGTTTAGAGCGTAGAAGTCAATAGCTCAATATCTAGTTGGCAGCCAGTGTCTAGCGGAGTGCCCCAGGGGTTGGTCCTGGGGCCAGTTTTGTTCAATATCTTTATCAATAACCTGGAAAATGGGATGGAGTGTACCCTTAGCAAGTTTGCAGATGACACCAAGCTGTGGGGAGTAGTGGATATGCTGGAGGGTAGGACTTGATTCAGAGAGACCTGGACAAATTGGAGGATTAGGCCAAAAGAAATCTCATGAGGTTCAACAAGGACAAGTGCAAAGTCCTGCACTTAGTGCGGAACAGTCCCATACAACAGTACAGCCTGGAGACCAATTGGCTAAACAGCAGCTTTGCAGTAAAGGACCTGGGGGTTACAATGGACAGTAAGATGAATATGAGCCAATAGTGCGCCCTTGTTGTCAAGAAGGCTAATGGCATACTGGGCTGCATTAGGAGAAGCACTGCCAGCAGACAAGGGAAGTGATTCTTCCCCTCTATTCAACACTGGTGTGGCCACATCTGGAGTCCCATGTCCAGCTTTCGGCCCCCCGCTACAGAAAGGCTCTGGACAAATTGGAAAGGGTCCAGTGGAAGGCAATGAAAATGGTTAGGGGACTGAGGCACATGACTTCTGAGGAGAGGCTGAGAAAACTCAGCTTCTTCAGTCTAGAGAAGAGAAGACTGAGGGGAAATTTAATAGCAGTCTTCAACTACATGAAGGGTGGTTCCAAAGAGGATGAAACTAGACTGTTCTCAGTGGTGGCATATAACAAGAGCAAGGAGCAATGGACTCAAGTTGAAGCAAGGGAAATTTAGGCTAGATATTAGGAAGAACTTTCCTACTAGGAGGGTAGTAAAACACTGGAACAGGTTACCCAGAGAGGTGGTGGAATCTCCATCTTTGGAGGGTTTAAAGACCCAGCTAGACAAAACTTTGGCTGGGATACTGCTGCTGTGAGCAGGGAGTTGGACTAGATGATCTCATGAGGTCCCTTGCAACTCTCATTTTCTATGACTCTATTGTACTTGAGGGTCCTTCCTAACACAGTGAGAACTTGCTCAGTTATAAGCTATAAAAGGAATATAAATAACTCAATAGTATTGACTGGTTTTTATTTTTCAACAGCTGTATTTTCAACCACTCATTGTTCCCAGCATTAAAAGAATTTGTTTCCTTTGGAGATGTACTAATACCCTCTTCCCACTTTCCAATTTGCAGGTACTGGTAAGATTTGTGTTCTCTGTCAGCAAGGGTTACAGGAGGATTACTTACCACAACTGGCGCCATGGCTTCAATGTTGCACAAACGATGTTCACGCTTTTAATGGTATTCTACTACTGCTCCTATGTTTTTTCTCTTAGTTTTATGGCATCATTTTGTTTACAGTGTGTTTTATGTAATTAACAGAGGCATCTCTTAGATGTCCATAAAAATATCTGCAAGCATTCCTTTGTCTTTGTAAAAGTCTTATTTCAGTAATAGTACAAAACATATCCCTCTCTAGTACAATTAATGCTAAGGAAGTGGATCTTGGTCTCCACTGAGGCACTGGTGTCCATCAGATTATCATTCTACCACTGTTTCTAGCTGCCATCCTTAATCCCTCAGCCCAAATGTCTGTTTGAGCTAAAGATCTGAAATCGAAACCCTGACTTGAATCCAAAAGGTGGTTTTTGTAGCAGCACCTTTTCTTCAAGAATTTAATAGGACTTCATGACCGAGGACAGCCAGACTGGTGACAGTTTAAATGAAAAAAAAAAGATGTTTTCGCTCATGTACTGTCCAACCCCAAACAGGAATAGCTGCTATAACCCCCAGGCTGACTGGAGGGGAGGAAAACTGTTCTCTCTTAGCAGGTCCTAGGGATAGAGCTACTCCAAAGACAAATGCAAAAGCAGGACCAACACTCATTGGTTGGTCCCAGGCAAAGCACTTGCTCCTGAGGCAGCAGAGCAGGCCCTCTCCTTAGGCATGATACGGAAAGGATTACGAATCATGCTTCTCCCTTGGGGTGACAAAGCTTCATATGGACCTATGCCCAAAGAAACCTGGAGTATCTTTGCCTGAGTTTTGTGCTCTGACTCTAACTAAATCTCTGTCTTCTTGTTCTGCAGTAATGTTAACAAGAGAGCCCAATGCTATCTTGGGCTAAGTAACTTTAGAAGACCTACAAAGGAGGATGCATGAGATGCATGTAGTACCCACACACACCTGCTCTAATTTTGAAACACCTGTTCTGGTTTCCCCTGTACCTTTTCCAAGTTCTTGCTAACTCCAGTGCACTGTATATTTGGCTTCATTAAAATGTCACATTTTAGTTCTTCGTGTTTAATATAATAGATTTCAAACAGAGCAGCCACACTGACATATTTTTCCTTTGGTCATACTAACAAAACTCTGCAATTCTCTTCTTCTAGACTGGCAAATTGAAGCGTTACTATACAGACCTTGAAGCCCTTGCTATGGTAACTGCAGGTTTATGCCATGACATTGATCACAGAGGAACCAACAACCTTTATCAGATGAAGTAGGCACTTTTTATTGTTTTCAATAATTATATCCAATGTTTGCATGGGGGGGTGGTTGCAGAGGGATCAAACTAGGTTCAGAACAGCTCCTGATTTAGGGTGCAGGCAGAGAACAGCATCCATTGTAAGCTGTCACAGTCTGATGTGATTTAACTGGTGAGGAAAGCTGTAGTTCTCTCGTGCTCTTTAGGCTACTGGAGGCCACCAGTAATAGGAGTTTGGCTCAAGCTGTCTGTCAAGACAGGTCTTTGAGCCATGGAGACATTCTCCCAAAATGCACGGTCCCAAGCACAAGAGCACATTTCTGCCCACTAAATTGACCCACATGATATGACATCACTGGTTATCCAGGCCTCTTTTAAATGATTAATGTACCCTCAGGTCAGGACACCTGCTCTCAGCTGCTTGCTGGCTGTGCTGCCTAGCTGTTCTCATATACCCAAGAGATCTCTGTGGCTAGTGAAACAGCATGTGGACGCTGCTTGGGGAGCTGGTGGTTGGGGTTTTTTCCCCCATACACATGCACACACCTTTTGTACAACAGTGAAGACTCTCTTAGGATTTAGCTGCCTTAGGATGTGAATGACAGACCTTAACACTAGGACTGCACAGATGTTCAGTTACAGCCTAGGAAAATGGGCAAGAGCTGATGCTTTTCCTATCCTTTTTTGACATATCTTTTTGAAATCACTTAAGTGAAAAATAAAACCAAAAGACCCTAACTGTGCTGTGTTATAAGGGTTCACTTGTAAATGACAGTTTATAAGTAGTTAATAAAAAATGTAAAAGATAAGCCTGTTCATTATTAGAAAAATGTAATATTGTTATTAAAACATTACTCATTCAACCTCTACAAACTAAGTTGAACCTGAATATAAAGTGTGACTTACCTAAATAAGACACCGCTGCAACACTTCCTTGTTCTTTAGCGTTGTACTAATTATGTTTTTCACTTATAACCAGATCTCAACATCCTTTAGCAAGACTTCATGGATCATCAATTCTGGAGAGACACCACTTGGAATTTGGAAAGTTCTTGCTGGCAGAAGAGGTTTGTAATGCATACTAACATAGGGATCCATCCAATTTGCTCTCAATTCCATTTGAAGCAAGATAATATCAAGCTGTAGGGGCTTGGCCCAGTATTTTTCTTTGGTTTGGATTCTGTGGGTGGGAGAGACTTCACTCGCATTGTAGTTTTCTCAGCTTTCGGTGTAAATGAACCCAAAAGTCAAAGTAAGATTTGGTTAAAATGGCAGAGTTTCTTTTGCCTTTGTGCTGAAGCCAAGTAGAAATAAAAATTACATCCGCTTGCCTTATAAAGAACTATCCTATATTAGATGCCTCTTCAGTGCCTAGTACAGTGAATCCTTTTCATGTTCTACAATAATCTGCAGCAAATTGGCCCTGACTTGCAATGATTTATTTATGAGCCTTCTCTATCAACCTAGCCCAACACTCATGTAGTTTATCTGCCTACTACTTTCCATCATTAGAAAAACTTTCTATGTACATGGCATTCTCATAATCCCATTGTAACCCTTCAGGCAGGCTCATAGGCCCATTGTGAGGCAGCCAATTGGAGTTCCAGTTACTCAGTTTGTGCATGGAGGGCGGTGGCGGGGAAGAAGTGGAGAAGTTACATGACTTGCCCAAAATATAATGGGGAGTCTGACAAAATGAATGAAGAACACTGGTAGCCAAAATTTTCTCAGAACCCATAGATCTCAAAGATCAGATTTAATCTTAAGGCCATCCTTCCGCCTGCTGTAGGCGAAATTCTGACAAATTTACTCTATTTAGTCTATTAATCTTTTACTTCAGATAAATTCCTATTAGTGCTAATAGGTACTCAAGTTGATTTCAGGTAGTACGGACAACTCAATGCCCCCTGTAAGAAACAGGGATCTTTTCACAGTCTTACTAGACATTGGAGTGAGTTCTTATCCCTTCCCTATACAAATCACTTGAAATTGTTGAACAAAGACACACATTCTGAGAAAGGAAGTGACATGTGATGTCCAGTAGCCTGCAGCAAAGCATCACTGATTTCTGTGAGCGTTATTTTCTTTTAGTCGCTGAATATTTACCAGAATCTCAACAGGAGACAGTATGAACATGTGCTTAACTTGATGGATATCGCTATCATAGCAACTGACTTGGCACTGTACTTCAAGTAAGTGAGTCCAAATATGAATATGACAGGTACCTTGTCTTAGTATAAAGTGTTATATAATGTTCTGCTGCTCCTCAGCATGCAAGACTCCTCTCAAGGGATTCTATGTCTTCTGGAGACCCATGCAGACCATCAAATGACTATCTGAAAGCAGGTGGATAAAACTTTCTTAAGTAATGAATTTTAAATAATTCCTAATGTTCATATTTATATGATGCTGAGCTGGGTTTTCTATAATGCTAACAAGCTGGTTTTGCTATTTCCTTCATGTTGACAGCGTGAGATTACTTGGATGTTTTACTACTGAGATATTTCAAACTAGTATATATATATATATATTTATTAATGACTATGATCAATCCAGGGCTTTATTAATATTCTTGAGACAAATAGCACAACTTCAAAACAAGATAAGAATAAGCAAATAGTTTGTAGTAGCTTAGCCAACACCTTCTCCATATATTTAAATTTCCATCAGTAAAAAAGTTGACCATTTTTTGCCGTCAGTGAGATTTGCACTTCTAGGTCACTGAGGCACTTGTAGTAAATACTGTCCTTAACTTAGGCTTCTAATTCTTTAAAAATGGCCTGCATAGCAAAATGTTCACAATACATTCATGAATATGCAGGAAGACTAAGTCATTTTCTTGTCATCACTGAAACAATTTCCTTTAGAAACAATGGTTTTATACTGCTAAAATGTAAAAATACAGTTTTATTTGTGGCTAAAATTATTTATGCAAATACTAGGGCACATGAGTAGGACACTGAAATCAGGCTGTTTGTGTAAGTGAACATACGTATTTGTGTAAGCAACTGAAGGGTTAGAGCCAATATTTTGGAGTTTTGCCTTTGGCATTTTGGTAGAATTCAAATTGCATTTCTAATTTAGTTCACAATAAATCTTAATCTGATGCTGCATTTCTTTGGTGAGCCAAAGCACAAGTTTGCAAGTTAGAATCACTGAAGTGTTACACTGATTTAAATAATATTTAAAAATTCCAAGGGTTTATGTTAAAAAAGTTCTAGAGTTTAATGGCAAACCCTGAGTGTGCCAAATATGCAAATACCCTGGGAGTGGCAGAACCTGGTTTGCTCAACCAGTAGAGCAACAGCTGCTCTGTGAGCAACAGAAGACTTCATCTGCTGCCCTTCACCGCTCCCCTTCCCCCTGCCCAACCAGTAGTTGGCAGAAAGCACATATAGATACACCTGTGCTTTTAGATTTGACCTGGAGCTCCTTTAGCAGCTGGAGCCTCCCAAGGAGGACTGCACCCAGGCTGGCAGACCTGCCATTATGGAGCTATGTGGGGTGGTTAGATGGAGCCTTGTGGAGGGGTGGGCAAAATATGGCCCATGCACCAGATCCAGCCCACCAAGGGATTTTGTTTGGCCTGCACCAGGTCCCTCAGCCCCGCATGGCCCAGCCATGGGGTCAGCTTGGGCCTTGGCATGTGCAGCCAGTAGGGCTTTGAGAAGCTTTGGTTGCTGATTCAATTCAGTGGATATTCGGCCTGATTCGGCGGCCGAATCTTGGAATCCGAATCAAATCAGGAGACCCTTTAATCTCTGAATCGAATCGGAACCCTCCAAATTGATTCAGAGAGATTCAATGATTTGGACATAGAAACAGCTTTAAATGTTTTTTCTACATACCTCAAGGGACCAGGTGGCTTGTGAATGCTGAGATGCTGGGGTGGATGGAGCATCCTACGGAAGCACTGGGGGGTCCCTAGCGCACTTGGTGGCAGACCCAGAAGTGGACCAGAAGCACTTCTGGTTCACTTCCGGGTCCACTGGGGAGCGCGCAGGACAGCCCCCGGCTCAGCAACTGGTGCCTCCTGGGTCTGGAGGGGGGGCACCTGGGGTCCCCCCATGGCCAATCACTGAGCTAGGGGGCTCCCCTGTGTACTCGGCAGCAGACCCAGAAGTGACCCAGAAGTACTTCCAGTCCACTGCCGAGCATGCAGTGCCCTCCCCCCATGCTCCTGTGGGACGTTCCATCCACCCCACTATCACAGCATTCACGAGCTGTGCCTGGTACCTTGAGGTGTATAGAAAAAGCATTTAAAGCTGTGTCTATGGCTGAATCGCTGATTCTCCAAATCAGCATCAAATCTTCAGATTTGTATTCGGCTGAATTGAATTGGGACAGTGATCTGAATCAACTAATTGAATCGCTGGCCCCGATTTGGACTGAATCTGAATCGAATACGACCCATTTTGCACACCTCTAGCAGCCAGTCCCATCACCCTCAGGCATGCAGCAGGATTGGAGTGTTGCAGAGGCCAGACTCACTTCCTGGCAACCCTGGCAGTGGCAGCTCCTTGCAGCTGTTGCTGCCAGTCTCTACTGCCAATGCCACTACCAGATCTGGCCCTGCTGCCCAGGCACTGTGGCCCTGGCTGTGATACCAGACAGAGTGGGTGGACAGGGTCTCTATAGAGCCCATCTGGGACCCACACAGGCAGGGTCCTCAGCTGGGCAGATGGAATTGAGCCGTGGGCAGGCAGGGAGCAGCATCCGGTATTGGGATGGATGGGACCAGGGCTGGAATTGGGATCCTGGGGCAGTGACAGCAGGGGGCCAGGGCTCAGGGCAGAGCCGTGATCTGCTCCCTGCATGTCCCTACAACAGGCTCTGGTTCTGCAGGCAGGGGCATGCAGGGAGCAGATTGTGGCTCTGCCCCAGGCCCCAGCCCTGCACTGTCATGGCCCCTGTGATCCCGATCCCAGTCCTGGCCTAGCCCATCCATCCCACTCCTGGACACTGCTCCCTGTCCACCCACAGCCCCATCCCATCTGCCCGGCCAAGTACCCTGCTTGCACAGGTTCCTGCCAGCCTCCATGGAGACCCCGAGACCTCTGGGTAGTGACAGCAAGGAGCCAGGGCCTGAGAGACAGCTGCAATCTGCTCCCTACACACCCCTTTTGGCAGAACCGGCACCTGTCACAGGGGCATGCGGAGAGCAGATTGCAGCTCTGCCCCAAGCCCGGGCCCCACACCATCACTGCGTAGCAATTTGGATCCTAGCCCTCGCCCCAGCCCTGCCCACCTGTCCCACTCCCAGATGCCAGTTCCTGCCCCTCTGTGGCCCCATCCCATCCATCCATCCAGCTAAGCACAGGGCAGATCCACTTAGGGAGTTTTGGTGAGCTGTTGCAGGTGATGGGGTGGGAGCCCACATAATTGCCCACCCGTGGGTTAGAAGCTGCTAGAGTCTAGAAGCGGGGTATGGCTGCATGGGATGGGGGGGAGGCAGAGGACGAGAAGCCCTTGGGATATGTACATACAGTGGAGCCGCCTTTGGTGAACCAAACACACTGACCACAGCTGTTCAACCAAGGGTCTGTCCTGTAAAATGTTTTTGAAGGATCTTCAAATGAGGTCTGTTGATTCCCTATTTAACACACCATTTCCCTGTTATTTTTTAAGAAAGAGAACAATGTTTCAGAAGATTGTTGATGAGTCGGAGAAATATGAGGACAAAAAGGCATGGACTGATTATTTGTCTCTGGAGACTACCAAAAAAGAGGTTGTCATGTGAGTAAAGACAGCCCCCCTTGATGCGTAAATGGTACAGAAAAGGCCACTATATTTAACAAATAAGCTCCTAAGGGGATCAGACAGGAAGACATAAGATGTAATACATGTTACCTAGTGAGGTATATTAAGCTCACATTTCACTTCTTATTAATGTATGTGGGAGCCAGATTGCAGTGGCTTTGTCTTTCAGAAAGCTGTTTGAATGGGTATTAAAATGAAATTCCAGCTATCTGTTTAAGATGTATACATCAGCAAGTAATTAAATAAAAATATACCAGTATCCTGCTTTTAAATGAAGCAAATAAGAAAAAAGTCACTATAGAAAAATGTCATATAAATTTCATGTCTGTGTGCTGCCAGAGCACCTCAGAGCATTTGCCATACATCAGAACCCAAATAGCTCTAAGGCAGTGGTGCTCACCCTTCTGGTCTCACGGGTCAGATAAGCGGTATGGGACGAGTCCATGGGCCAGATCCAGTATGAGGAACCCTGGTGTGCAGGGCTGATCCACAGGTGTGATCTGGCACACCAGCCTAGTCCTGCTTACTAGATCTGGCTGCAGAGCAACCTCATGCACCAGCTCAACCCCACAAGCCAGATCCAGCTGCAGAATAACCCAATGGACCAGCGCAATCCACCATGTAGGGCCCTGTCATCCAGCCTGTGGGGTTCCCCCACAGGTCCAGAAATGCTGGTGGCAGAGCAGTGGTGGCAGTGTTCATTGATCCAGCTCTAGAAGCCACAACAATTAATGCTGCAACCACTCCCCTACTGCCAAATTTCTGGACCCGTGGAGAGCCCCATGGGCCAGATGACAGCGCTCCATAAGCTGACTTTGGCCCACAGGCAGAGGCTGAGCACTACTGCACTTAGGAGATAAGCAAATACAGGACAAAGAGAGGCTTCCTGTGTCAGACACCTCATAATCTAAATAGAAAAGAAGAGAAAATGTGTGGGGGGAATACAGAGAGAAGATACAGATGGGAACACAAAGATATAATGCAAGGTCTCATGGTAGACCATGGTATTATTCCACTGCAAGCTTCAGTCTAATTGAGTTTTTGTAACCTTTATAACAAATGGGACAGTTTTATGCTTGGGAGTAGCTTGCCAGAATGAGCAGCAGTATGGCAAGGTTTGTATGGCAGTTCCATGTTACTGTGAGTAGTCTGTGGTGGCATTTAAGGCACCTTTTTAACTCAATCCATGGGTTTTAAAACAGACTTTGCACTAAAAAATGGCAAAACTGAAGTTACTACAAACCCTGAAAAGAAAACCAGAAAGCCCAGAGAGTACTAGAAAGGAAAGAACAACAAGTTTATTTTTAAATGCCATTATTTTACACCAACATGCCCACAAGTGGCTTTTACATAAAACTTTTACTAAGTTTTAGATTAAAATTGTTTTAGGGCTAGAATGCCCCTGCTTAAAATTCGACTATTATAAAAGCCTCAGTCTGTCTGTCTGTTACACTTTATTCACACTCTGATTGGTTGTCTGAAACAACTAATCACAGCGTGAGTGCTTGGACAGGAGCTGGAGGCTGCACCAGCCCCTGAGCCACTGGGGGACCCTCTTCTTCCTTAATGTTTCACTAGAGTCTCTGCTGTGCTCAAAAGTGGCTCAAGTGTCCTAGGACTAGCAAAAACAAAAAAGCTGTATGCAAACCAGTTTTATCACAGGAAATTATACAGATTGCAAACCTGGAGCAGAAGCTGGCAGTACACTCAGATGAATTTTATTAAGCCAGTCTGGGTCTCCTTCATTTTTAACACAAGGCAGGGGGGAAGGATATAAAGCAGGAGGTAGCAAAAAGCTGTAGAGTGAACACTGATTCCTTTCTGACTCCATTCTCCAGGGCCATGATGATGACTGCCTGTGATTTGTCTGCTATTACTAAACCCTGGGAAGTCCAGAGTCAGGTCAGTGGCCTCAAAAATTGCTTGCTCCATATAGGTGTAATACACTTCAGTGGGTGCATCTACACGAGATGCTACATCACCATAGCTTGTTGCTACAGCGACATAATGCTGCTGGGCATGAACCGTGACACCAACTTTTCTGCACAGTAGCAACAAGCTATTGCGCAGTAGCTCATTGCTACTGCAAAGTATCTTCTAAAAACAACTGTGCAGTACAAAGACTGTGCAGTAACTCTGCTTAAGCAAGTATTAAATGACTGTGCAGTAACAACTGTGCAGTCCACTGCTCATGTAGATGCAGCCAGTATATTACAACTTGCTGCATTGCCAGCAGTCAGCACTAAGATTTTTCCCTGTCACAATTTCCAGCAATACTGGTAGATAATTATTTGCAGATTGATAAACTACTGGTAAATCCTTCTGGCTGTAATATTTTCTCACAAGTTGTCAAATCCACAACCCTATGTTACAACATAAGAGAATTGATTTTTTAAAAAGATTTTGATGTCTAAGACTTCAGTAACCAGCTGGATACTTATTTGCACATAACACTATAATTTCTTTGCAGTGACAGCTGCTTTGCTTGGTTTGGTCAGTTGTTTGATTTTCTTCTTAAAGTGCATGTACCTGACTGAGTCCTAATAAGTACACAACCTAGTCAAAATTTAAAGTAGGTAAATAAAGTGTGTAAGAACAAATGAAAGGGGAGACTGCATCCCAGTGTTCTTGCACCCTAGAATGTATTCAGTGCTATGAATGTGAGAAGCAAGCAAAAAAAGTGCTGCCAACTGGCCTAGTTTCACTGGGAGCATCTACACATACAATTTAATATGCAATAGCCTATTTTACTGCACATTAAAGCACTGTGTATAAAAACCTGTGCAATTACACTAATGTACAGTAAAATAGGCTACTGCACATTAAGCCTCACTTAAAAACCATGCACGTTTGTTACTGAGCATTAAGGCAGCCTAATGCACAGACCTTTAGTACCTCACATTGGAGGTACTAAATTTAGTGCACTTCAGTTTTGAAGGGGCAGGGTATTAGGACAATTCTCAAGAGCTTCAGGGTGGCAAAGGGCAAGTATTTCTATGGAAAAGACCAAAGGAATAACTAATGCCTTATTTAGCCTTATATAAAGAGGCCTAATAAGAAGCAAGTTCTTGCAGAGAAACACAGCCAGAACTTGAATGACTGACAGAGGAGTGCACCAATGAGCTATCTTGCCAGAGATCGCCTTCAACTCTCCATTTTGTTATGGCAGAGCAACTCCATTCACTTCAACAGTGCTGTCCTGGTGGATATTTCGTAAAACAGCAGAGAATTAAAGGCAAAACAACAACTGATTGAAAAAAAGTATTAGACTGGACAAGATTATGAGGAAATGAGCAAGGAGGGGCTCTTTCTTCTAGTGAAGACTTGAGCTGTTTTGTATTTTAAAGCCAAAAGACTGACGGTGGCTGTTCTTTTTTTAATGCAGGTAGCTTTGCTAGTAGCAGCTGAGTTCTGGGAACAAGGAGACCTGGAAATAAGTGTACTTCAGCAACAACCTATTGTAAGTATCTCACAAGAAGCAGAAAACTTGGTCACACCTCTTAACAGGCAGCATGCCGTAAGAGCAGGGGAGCCCTCCTTGATCACATACTATTTTAAATAAGAGGGGTTTTTTGGCTCTGCACTGGCTGCCTTTGCTGCAGGCACTGGGAAAAAAGAGAAACTATTACGGATGATGCCATAGAACTGTTAGGCTAAGAATGATGCCATAATAAGTTGAGGAGTGGAAACACAGGGCTTTTATGACTTGTTCTCCAAAGGAATCGATGTTCTTTTCCAGCCCATGATGGACAGAAAAAAGGCTGCCGAGCTACCAAAGCTTCAAGTTGGTTTCATTGACTTTGTGTGCACATTTGTATATAAGGTAAGCAATTAGCACTGCGAAGAACAATCAGTATCTTCCAAACTCGGCAATATTGTGTTGGGTTTTTTTTTAAATATATTTACCATGCTACAACCTTCTTCTTGATCCAGGAGATGCAGTGAGTGCCTACAATGTTTTTATCATGGCCTTGGCTATGGGATGCAATAACTTGAAAACCAGGATAACCATAGAATGTTTGCAGGGAACTGGCACACTTTACAGTACCAGCATGCAACAGATATGTCTGATCCAGCATTACTCACAGACTACGTATTGCTGATCAGCTATTAAATTAAGCTTATGTTTTGAAATGCAGGACCTCATCCTCAGCCCTGTTCTCGCAACCTTTCACCACTCATCGTGCAAAGCAGCCTAAAATCCATCTTAAATGACACCGAACACCCCAAGTCTGCCATGCCCAGTGCTTTTCATCTGCTGAAACAGCCCCTTGGGCAGCTGGTGTAACCCAGAAGAGTACCTTGAACTGATTGATCAGTTGTATGGAAATACATTTGTATCTCTATGCCACTGGTTTTCAAACTCTTTAGACTCAAGGCACCCCTTCAGAACTTTTCAAAGTACACTACATCAAAAAAGTAAAATATATCAGGCATATTATAACATAAACATTATAATCCTACTATTAATGAATATGTTAGAAATATGATATATGATATATTTTAACCCACAGCCACAACTACTGAGTCCAGGTGCCACGTGCCTCCACACCTCCTGTACAGTCAGAGTGGGAAGCAGCGGTAGCAGGAGCATGTGCTCTTAAAATCATAGAAAAATAGGGTTGGAAGGGACCTCAGGAGGTCAGCTAGTCCAACCCCCTGATCAAAGCAGGACCATCTTCAACTATATCATCCCAGCCAAGGCTTTGTCTAGCTGGGTCTTAAAAGCCTCCAAGGATGGAGAGTCCACCACCTCTCTGGGTAACCTGTTGCTTTACTACCCTCCTGGTGAGAACATTTTTCCTGATACCTAACCTACAATTCTTGCTACAGCCCTTCCTGTTCCAACTTTGCAGGGTGAGCCCCAGAAATAGGGGCAGATATCACTGTCCCACAGCTATTTTCAGGAGGCATGTTGAGGCTGAACTGGGAAGAGCTGCAGCAGAAACAGTGCACCTGCCTGCACAATGTAATGCAGGCAAGCCACTTGTCACAGTGTGTCTCCAAGGTGCCTCTTGAATAGAGAGGTGTGTGGGGCAATTTCACCGCATGGTGTGAAACCTCTGGCAGGCTCTTGCAGCACCCTGGGGTGCAGTTGAGAACCACTGGTCTATACTAGTTGTGAGCTGCACCAGGTCTAGAATAACCAGACCCTCAGCTTCAACCTATACAGTCGAATGACCCATATAGCAGAATGAGTAATGGAATGCTACTGAAGTCAACCCTGTAGAAATACTATAACCCTGAAAGTGAGTCCAGGTTTATCCAAAAACAAAACCCAGAGAACCCAGGTTAATGACCTGAAGTATAAATTTGTGTCAAAAGAAACAAGACTAAAGCTCAAGGCTGTGGAATGCATTTCTATGAGGAGCAAGAAGCATCAAACATCACAATCTCTTGCACTAATGGCAAAATGGCAAGGCACATTTCATGGTGCCTCTCTTCACACCCACACATACACACGTTAAAAAAAAACAAACCATCGTAGAGCAAGTTATGCTCCAACCTTTTTCTGGCAAGCAAAAGTGAGCACCCAGGACAGTTATTCATGTTGCTTACTGTATTACTGTTAGGTGCTCAGATACCACTGTAATGAATTTAGTATGGGAACCTGTATAGGATCATAGGATGACACCAGAATATCTAGATTAAGTTACTAAATAATGAATTTGCCTTAAGAATCCAACAGTTCTGACACACCTGCTCACAATCAATAAGGGCTTCACACTTGTATCACTTTGCCTTTTGTGAAATAGAGAATATGTGATGATATGAGGGCAAGGGCAGAAATCTTACCAACATGGGAGGGGCATATCATCTTCTTCCCTCTAATCTTCATCTCACTGGAACCCTGGGCACAGCTGGGAAAAGAACTGGAAGCCCTCACTCTTTCCCCAAATTCTCAAATTGCAAATAGTGTCACTTGTTTGGACATGGTTGGCTCCTGACCTCTCTCCTGGCCAAAAGTGCTCTTTCCCTCCACCACTCTTCCAATATTACCCACTTCTTGATTTATAAAATAAGAAAGGGAAGTTCCCAAAGAGGAGCAAGGTTTTGACTGGGAGGGATTGGGGAAAGAGAAGCTGAAGTCTCTTTTCCTTTCCCCTTCCCATTCTAACCACTACCACCATCACCTTTCAGCTCAAACACCATTCCTTGAAACCCCCTCTATTTCATTCTGCAACTTCAGTGCATTCTCAAGGACTCTTCAGTTCACACATCTTCCCCCTCCTGCCAATTATTCTGTACTACCCCTACCCCTACCCCAATATCTCTTTACAGGATGCACATCAGTCATAGACTTCGCCTGGGCCATTTGCCTTTCTGGCTCCTACTACTCTCTTTGAGGCAAAATGGTATTAGGATTACCTGACATGAGGTCCTAGAGTTTTGTGGTATTTGGGACTTCTTCCTTGGGGAACCAACCTGTCCTTCAGCACAGGATGCAGCAGCAGCAGTAGTGCTGTGCTGCACCCTGGAAGGTAGAAAATGGAAATACTTCCAAGCACATGGGGTTCTCGTCAGAGTTTCCCACAACTTGGAGGAGTTGGCAGGTCTGCAAAGAAACAAAACCCTCCTCCAACCTGGTCAGACTATTTCTTCTTTTTTCTAATCTGTTTTGAACCCAAGTGTAAACGTTCCTTCTAAGTAACTTCCTACCCAGGCAGTGGTAAGATATCTGGCTGCTTCCCAAATCATACATGCTTAAACTTGTATAAGATGATATAAAGTTCATGTATGAGCAGACAGGGCTAAGTACACATTGAATTATTTTGTGCATATGTTTGGTCCAGGAATTTTCTCGTTTCCATCCGGAAATTCAGCCAATGCTGGATGGGTTGCTGAACAACAGAAAGGAATGGAAGACCCGTGCTGATGAGTATGATGCAAAAATGAAAGCAATTGAAGAAGAGAAGAAAAAGGCAGCAGAAAAGGCAGCTGAAAAGAAAGGTGAGAAATTTTGTGATATTCTCATATCTTGGTTAAATCTACTTGCACACACATTTTTTTTCCAGATAAAACCCTGGGTAAATCACCTTTCACCTATTTGTAATTTTGAACCAGCTGCATCTGTAAAAAGCTGCATAATAGGACAAACTAAAGAAGATGCAACTTACTCCCTAAAATAAGAATTGCAATGTAGTAGTTTCTTTCATGCCGACACTTTGCTGAAAATAAGACAATTTAATATGTGTGCAGTTTAGTTTGTTTTAATTTGTGTTTCTTTCTGGACCCAGTCCAGCTCTCTGCAACCTTTCCATTGGCTTCAACAGGAGCCTAACCAGAGCCTTAGTAAATATTGGGGGTTGACAGGACTGGAAGCGTAGATACATCATCTTCTCCAGCTGCCTCACTCCAGCAGTCAGACTGAGAATTAGAAAAACCTCAAAGTGGTTCATGGAAAATCCCACTATTTCAAAATGTCTTTTCTGTCCCAAACTGGAAAGAAAAGAATAAATATCCCCAGAGAGAAATTAAAAAAAAAAGTTCTGTAAATAAAACTGATCTTATCTAAACATTTAATTTCTACTTTTAATAAATCAGAATAAAACAAATACTTTGATAAGCTTTTTTTCCTATGGGAAATTGATACTTTTTGTCAAATCAGCATCTTTTGACAAAAACTACATCAGAAAGTTTTCACTGGACCTCAGAGAAGTATCCAAAAGCATTCTGGAGCTCAAACTATTTTGTATAACAAATATCTTGAATATCTAGGAACTCATAACATGTTTGTCACTATCTTAAAACTTTTAAAAGTAAAATGACTTTCCATCAATGAGTATTTCAAATTACAGTGGTGTTGGAACATTTCTGGATGCATATCTAAATACTTGTCTTTTTTCACACAGGAGAGGCATTAGCTTGCAATGGAGGAACAGCTCCCACATCTAAAACATGCTGTATAATCTAGAGCTCAGAAAGATGGTGTTTGAATGACCCAAACTGAGAAACATCTTGTAAAACAAAATCATGGTGTACAAATATAAATTCTGTTTTTACCATTTTACTACCTAAATTAGACCTATCAGCAGCCATGGAAGGGCCAAATCTTGTTTGCCTTACTCATACGAGTACTCTTACTGAAGGTAAAGAGCCAAATTCTGCCCTGTCTAACTCCACACAATGTCATTCAAGTCACTGGGGTTACACAGAGGTTAAGTCAGGGCAGCACTTGGCGATCTGAATCTACTTGTGTGACTGATGGAAGTAGGATATGACCTGAAGTCTGAACATGCCCCTTACATGCACACACTTACCTTGAAAAATGTTGAAATGATCATGTGCCCAATTCAACCCTAGTTGTGTGGTGGGTGAACTGTGGTAGAGTCAACTCCTATGCATCTCACAGGACCAGGTGTAAAAGCCAGCAATATGCAAACAGGAAATGCAAAGACTGACCCCTCAGGTTGCTTGGCTTCTCAGAGTAATAAAAATAGACTTTATCCAACAACTGATGCCTAGATTCTGATCTCAGGTATGCTGGAATAGACATGGAGTTGGGATGACACCCTGGTAACTGAATTCAGAATCTGAATTCAGAATCTGGCCTTTAATGAGGACCAGCACTGGGGAAATTAAAGTACAGGCATTAGCTGTAGAACTAATACATTGTTTTTATTTTGCTGATATTAGTACACCTTATTTTGTGGAGAAACTGGGCCAAATTCAGGACTGGTCTAAAAGATTGCAACTCCACTGAAGCCAAAGAAATGCACAATGACAATAATTCTGTATTCAGTAGAGTTAGATGGGTGTGCTGTAAATACATGGACCATGCATTTGAAGGGAAGGAGAAACCTATAGCTTCTCATTGCATGAGCAATATGTACTATCAGGGGTCCTGAAGAAACAAACATATAAATACTATATCATAAAGGTGCCAAATTAAGGTTGTCCTGGCAACCTTAATTGTGGCATTTCCTAATTATAGTTTGTAACATTAATGTCATTTCAGCCTAGTTTGAGTACTAGAGACTTTGCATGACCAAAGAGTAAGCCATTTTTGACCAGTGATGAGAAATGAGTATGTGAGCTTTGTATGGATACTACAGTTGGACACTTCTTTTGTTTCAGATTGCATCCCTTAATACCATTGATGTGCTAGATTGGGATTTGTTTAATTCACAACAAAAAGTTTCACAAATGCCTACTTACAGGAATGCTCAGAGAAACTAGGGTGGGTACAGGGAGATCTTTCTCTGCTCTCTATTAGGGTCTTGTTCACCTCTAAGCCACAGCTTTATAAGTGTTTTGGTATATGCTTGAGTTTTTAAAAAAAAATTATGTTGATTTTCCTGCCACCTCCTGTGTTTTTTCCCTTGAGCATATTACTTTAATATTGTTTCTAATACATGTGAGAGAAGAGTTAGGTTCAGAAGTTGATTCTGTCAGGTATGCTACAGTGATGATCAATCTAACAGAAGGAGAGTGACAAAACATGCTTGTTAAGGGCACAGCACATTTTGAGGAAATGTGGTTCTCAGTACTTTCTGCCTGCTCACTTGCTGCAGAATTTTCTTAGCTATGCTCAGAAGAACCAGCTATTTCAAATCAGAGGCCTCAGAGTGACCACAGGTGCTTCACAGCAAATAAGTATGGGATCAAAGGCTGTACCTTCAGAAGACACTAACTAGATTTTTACCATTTAAGAATGACATGCTTGACAACTTCCATAGGAAGAAAAAGTCCTAGATGCTGGAATATTTCCTATACATATATCCCACAAGCTCAAATTTCATATTGTAGGTAAGTGGATTCATGAAAACTGTTGGCTTAATTATATGCAATTTACTTTGCTATCTAATGGTGAAACAGATTATCATGGTCTCACACTGTTTGAAACAGAATAGCACTATTTTGGGTGCAAACAGTGTTAGCTAGTCAGTAACGGTGGTTATACAAAGAGCTATAAAAAAGCATTGGATTGTATGGTTACTGGAGCAGAGATTGTTTTGGTTGGGCTTAGACAGAGTACTGGGCCAAATGTGGTCTGTGACTATGTTAATATTGCCATCTAAACAACACAAAATCCAGGAGACCAATTTTAGTTGTGACATGCAAAATATGTCCCTGTATGTCTAGCCATGAGGTAGAAGATATTGGTGCTGCTGAGTGTGTGCACATAAAGTTCAATACCTCAAACTTAATGTTTTAACCTTGTATAACAAAGAAAGACGTCAGGTCACCTGAAATTTTGTCCTACAATACATGTTGTTTAAAAGTACTAACCACAAAAAAATTAACGGACTTTGTTAAATTATGCTTAGGGTGTAAGGTTAAAGTTTGTAATCCTTTATTCCCAACTTAGGTATCTAAGCCTGCCCCAAAACAAATTGATGTCTATTCTGTTGACTTCAGTTAGCTCTGGGTCACACCTTAGGTGAAAGAGAGATATTTAGTTTAGCAAGGAGAGCAGTGACTGATTGAGCTGTATAGGTGCTTTTGCAGTTTTTGAAAATTATAGAATAGAAAATCTTAGAACTGTGCCTCCAGACATGCTGCACTTCATTTGCTTTGAACTTTATGGTGACATTTAAAAATACAGTATATAATGCAACAAATTCATCTACAGCAGTCCAAATTATGTGCAGAATTGAGAAGAGTAGGTTTTGAAATACTGACCAATATTTTCCTGGAGAAAATGCTGAATATAAAAAGGTACTCGCTTTAGCAAAAATTACTAAGCAGGGTTGTACAAATATATACTAGCACTTTTTATCTGAAATTTAACTGTCTTAAGAATTTGTATTGGACCACACACGCTGAAAAACAACAAATATTCTGTAGTTGTGTATAGGACAACTGCACATGTAAGGCTCATTCTAAAATAAACCATTTAAAACTTGTTTTGCTGTCCTTGAAATAATCACTTTTAGTTTACATATTTAGTAGGACTCCTCTGATTTATATTTTCAAACAGTGCTTCATTTATGTTGAAAATATATTTAGTGGCTACACTAATTTATTAAGTATTGAAAATACAATGTTGGACAGTCAATGTGTAGTGGGTGTCTAAGCTTTGGATTGTTAAGAAATCTAAGTTTGAAACAATATCAGAAAAATCTGACTCTACTTTTAATAGTTTATTGTTTAATATTGAAAAAAAATTCAGTAGGCCATTTATTCCTGCTTGCAGTACTTTCTTGTTTACAAAGGTTCAGGGATACTCAGCAAGATATGCACCATTGTCATCCACCAAAATAAGCATTCCTGATCTAAAAAGGTAAGATCCTGGACCTCAGTTGAAAGCATAAGAAGAAGGCACAGCACATCCCATAATGCAGTTTATTATAAGGTTAATTTACTGCCAGCTCCAACAGGAGTAAGACTCCCACAGAAATTCAGTTACTTCATGCTAAGGACATATGACATGGTACCAAAGCTGTTTGTAGTAATAGGTTGCATACTTGGCATCCTTGGGTACCATGAGGTCTTTTGAAAGGTGTTACAAGGTGTGAGAAGGCAGTACAAGGAGAAAAGTGTGTAGGCTCACATTCCTGCCTGGCCACTGCCCTGCCCCATTGCAAGGAGGTAAGTAGTGTAATAAATTAATTTTTGAAATATGATGCTGCTCAATTCACAAGAGTTATGGAGGTGTGCCTCAGGTTAAAGGAGGGGTGCCCCAAATCTAAAAAGGTTGAGAAACCACTGCTTTAGTTTGAATGCCATCAAGTCCTGGTGGTTTATTAGTTTAATTTACCTGTCAGCAAGTGTGATGTATCTGTATCTCTTTTCCCAGGCTGCTGCTGGCTTCCTTGTACTCGCCTGCCATAGAATCATAGAGTAGAAGGACCGGAAGGGACTTCTAAGATCATCAAGTCCGGTCCCCTGCTATGGGCAGGAGGTAATTGGGTTCAAGCAAGCTCAATGATGTACTTGTCCAACCTCCTCCTCCAGGGATGGTGACTGCACCACCTCTGCTGGGAGTGTGTTCCAGATTCTAGATACCTTTATGGAAAAGAAGTTTTTCCTTGTGTCTAGCCTAAATTTTTCCACAACTAGCTTGTGCCCATTGGTCCTTGTCCTCCCAAGGGCTACCTTTCTGAAGAGATGCTCCCCTAGATCTTGGTGTTCATCCCTAACATACTTGTAGGTGGCTATCAAGTCACCTCTCAGTCTTCTCTTACTCAGACTGAACAAACCCAGTTCCTGGAGTCTCTCCTAGTAGGGCCTACTCTCTAGGCCCCTGATCATATGGGTGGCCCTTCTCTGTACCCTTTCAAGGTTATCCATATCCTTCTTGAAGTGTGGAGTTCAGAACTGGACACAGTACTCCAGCTGTGGCCTCACCATGCCAAATAGAGGGGAAGGAGCACCGCTCTGGATCTATTGGCAACACGTTGGCTAATGCAGGCCAGAGTTCTGTTTGAACTGCTGGTGACTTCGTTGCACTGATGGCTCATATTCATCTTCTGGTCAACTGTCACCTCCAACTCCCATGCAAGTGAAGTGCCAGCCAGTGGACCACCACCCATCGTATGGTTATGGTGAAGGTTCTTCCTAACCAGATGAGGGACCCGGCACTTGTCCCTACTGAACCTCATCTGATTGTGTTCAGCCCATAGAACCAGCAAATATAATCACTGCGCTTTCCACTCCCTCATCCAAGTCATTGATAAAGATGTCAAAGAGCATGGGCCCAAGCACTGATCCCTGGGGGACACCACTGGAGATGGCCCTCCAAGATGTGGCCATCCCATTGATTACAACTCACTGGGATTGGCCTCTGAGCCAATTGCCAACTCACCTCACTGTAGACTGGTCTAGGCCAGTACCCTCCAACTTGAGAGAATCTCATGGAGAACAGTATCAAAGGTCTTGCTGAAGTCTAGGTAGATGATGTCAACCTTATGTCCCATGTCCAGCTGATTAGCTACCTGGTCATAAAAGGATGCCAGGTTTGTTAGGCATGACCTTCCTTCAACAAACCAGTTATGAGCTTGTGGTTGATGGCCTCCTTGACAATCTTTTCAAAGATTTTTCCCAAGACTGAAATCAGACTGACCAGTCATAGTTTGCAGGGTCATCCCTCTTTCCTTTCTTAAAGATAGGTAACAAGTTAGCCTTCTTCCAATTGTTTGGGACCACTCCTGAGTTCCACGACTCTTTGAACAACCTTGCCAGAGGCCCCACTATGAGCTCAGCCAGTTCTTTCAGGACTCTCGGAAACAGGTTCAGCAGACTTGAAAAAGTCCAGCTGTTCTAAGAGTACCTTCACCTGTTCAGGACTGATTTCATGTGGACTCCTGTCTTCCCCATATTCTCTGGGCCTCTGGACCAGTGACTGGTTCCCATCTGATTTCAAGACTGCTGATGTGAAAATAAGCATTTAGGAGGTCTGCCTTTTTGCAGGGATCAACTGTGGGCTGCCCTTCCATATTTAGTAGGGGTCCCACAATGAAGCTTGATTTCTTTTCTTCCTCCCTATGTACCTATAGAAGGACTTTTTGTTGTCTTTTATTTTGGTTGCTAGTTTGATCTCCATGCATGCCTTTTCTTTCCTTCTCATACCTGCAGACCCTGGCTGTATGAGTGTACTCCTCTGGATGCTGAACCATTTTTCCATTGCATGTATGCTTTTTTCTTTTTCAGAAGTTCCCTAATGTCTCTGTTGAGCCAAGTGGGTCTCTTGGCCCCTTTCCCTCTTTTTGACCACATGGGGATGGCCTCTTTTTGAGCACTGAGAATTGCCTCCTTAAGGAAGTTAAGGAACCTGAACTCCCAAATCATCCAATCACTGGTTGTGAAGGGCCTTTCTGACTAGACTCCTGAGTTTACCAAAGTCTGCCCTTCTAAAGTCTAGGACTTCTGTTCTGCTGGCAGAATACCCAGCCTTTCGGTGGATGGTGAATTTAATCAGATCACAATCCCTTTCACCCAGAGTACCTCCAATCTTCAGGTTGCCTACCATGTCTTCCCCTTTGGTCAGCACCAAGTCCAGAGTGGCTTTATCCCTAGTCAGTCCCTCCACAGCCTATGTCAAGAACAGGTCATCTATAGCTGCCAAGAAGTTGGTTGACTTGCTGGAGCTGGCTGAATGGTCTTCCCAACAGACGTCAGGGGACTTGAAGTCACCCATGAAAATCAAGTCTTTAGTGCTGGCTGCCTCGATCAGTTCCCTGGAGAATGCCTGGTTGTTCTCCTCTTCTTGGTAGGGAGGTCTATAGTAGACTCCCACCATCAGGTCCCCTTCTCCTGAGCCTGCTTGTATCCTGATCCAGAGGGTCTCAAGGGGACCTCCCTGTGCAATCAAAAGTGACCTGTGGGCAGGGGTACTGCTTTTTCACATAGAGGGCCCCCCTCCACCCTTCTTCCCAACTCAATCCTTCCTAGAGAGCCTATAGCTCTCAATATCCACTGCCCAATCATATGTATCAACCCACTAGGTCTCCATCAACCCAATGAGGTCAAATTCCTTGTCTGCCAGAAGGAGTGCTTGTTCATCCTATTTATTGCCCATGCTTCTGGCATTCTTATAAAGACATTTGAGTTCACCCCTAGTCATCTCAGGTTTTGCAAGTGTCTCAGGACGTTGTACTCATTTGAATGTCCCCTATATGAATATCCCCCTGGGTCATCTTGGCCAGAGGATTTATGCCCAGCAGTGGAATCTACCCTCACACCCCCGGACATGCCTAGTTTAAAGCCCTCCTCAGCAAGTCGGTGATTCTCATAGAGAAGAGCTTCTTCCCTCTGCCCAGGAGGTGGATACTATCTTTTGCATACCAGTGCCGTTGAACTGCATACCAAGGTTGAGGAATCCAAAACCAACATGGTGACACTGTCTGTGAAGCTTTTGGTTGACTTTGATGCATTCCTCCCTTGATGACCACAGCTTCTAACTGGGAGGATTGAGAAGAAGACCACTTGTGCTTCTAGTTCTTTGAGCTTCACCCCCATGGTCTTGTAGTCACTCATGATTCTCCTGGAGTTTCATAGTTCATAGTAGTTTGGGCTCAGAAGGGACCTGAGCAGATCATCTAGTCTGACCCCCCACCACTGATAGGAGTATATGATGGGATCACACGACCCAAGACAGGTGTTCGTCCAACCTCTTTTTGAATTTACCCAAGGTAGGAGTGAGGACCACTTCCCTAGGAAGTTGATTCCAGATCCTAGCCACCCTAACAGTGAAATAGTGTCTCCTAATCTCTAATCTGAACCTATTCTCCAGCAGCTTCTGGCCATTGTTCCTTGTCACCCCAGGTGCTGCTGGGGGGAATAGAGCCTTTCCTATTTGCTGCTGATTTCCCCTAACGGGTTTGTAGGCAGCCACCAAATCCCCCCTCAGCCTCCACTTGCTGAAGCTGAACAGGTTCAGGTCCCTCAGCCTCTCATAGGGCCTGCCCTGTTGCCCTCCAACCAAGCGGGTGAACCCTCTCAAGGTAGGCCACATCCTTCTTAAAGTGCGGTGCCCAGAACTGGACGCGGTACTCCAATTGTGGCCTGACCAATGTCATGTAAAGAGGAAGTATCACCTCTCTGGACCGGCTTGAGATGCATCTTTGGATGCACAAGGTGTGGTTGGCTTTGCTGGCTGTGGTCTAGCATTGGCAGCTCATGTTCATCTTGGAGTCAATAATGACTCCAAGATCCCTTTCCGCCTCTGTGCTCACAAGAGGGGAGCTCCCCAGCTTGTATGTATGCTGTGGATTTCTTCTCCCCAGGTGCAGCACCCTACATTTATCTACATTGAACCCCATCCTGTTACCATCCTGTTACCATCTGCCCACTTCTGTAGTTGTTTTTCACCATCTCATTGGTGCCCATGTGGACAAGAAGCATCGGGTAGTGGTTAGTAGGGTGGACCAGTTTAGGGATTGTTGCTGTAACATCTCTAATCCTG